TTATATCTGTGTTGTTTTTACTGATCCCAGGATCTGCAGGCAGCAGGGAAACTAAACCAGGGTCACACGCTGCCTTGCCACTTACTCCTGGTTTGGGCTCCTTAAAGAAGATGAAATGTGTGAGGAAACCCACATTTCTTAGCATGTACTACTGACGAGGCCGATTCTGTATTTCTCCTGGGTGATGACTTCTCACATGGATGTCTGTTCCTCTGTCTAGATAAAGTATCCATGTCTGAATATCCTAGGATGCTGTGAACTGTTTTCAGTGCCTCTGCAGTGTCCATGGGTTCTGGGGGATTGCACATAAATGGAAGTCTGACAAGGCATGCCACTAGGGAGCTTGGGACGCAGTGCACAACTGGGCTGCCTCATAGATCCATCTTACCACTGTAACTAGCAGCCAGGAAGAGAGCGGACCTCCACACCTCTCAGCGGACTTGCAGCTTTCTCAGGGCCTCACAGACATTCACAGGGTGTAGCAATTTATAAACTGGCCCCACTAACCCTTTATAGGGCTAACATTTAAAACTCACAGACAGTAAAGGTATCTGGGTTTCTTGGAGAAGTTAACTGGGTTTGGGTAGCATATGTGTTGTGTTTTGTGCCTTTGTACAGGTTTCTGTGAGTACACAGCAAAGCCTTCCTTTAGCTCAGTCCAAAGGGCACTTAATGGATTTTCCATTTTTTATCAAACAGATGTACTAAGTGCACTATAAATTTAAAAAACACACAGTGCAAGTGTTGCTGTTTTAAAGCTGAGGCTTGCTGCTTTTGTCGATTAGTGCTGTATTTTATGATTCTTGTATGAGTGATCACATACATGTGTGCACACACACACTTCATCTTCGGCTGTCACTTCCAAAGCTTCCTCTTGGGGACTGCGACTCTGGTCTTCTCCTTTCTCTCTGGTCCCCTTGTCCAGAGGCTGAAGGAGCAGGGGTGGGTTAGTTGTTGAGTCTTTGGAGAAATGATAGTTACTTCCAAAGATGCTGCTGGTCTCGCAGCTTAAGATTTAATGGTAAATTAAAGACCAGGGAAGGCATTTCATTGGAAAGTTGCTTCTCCAGCTATAGAAATAGTTTGTTATTAACTACTTGCTACTTCTCTAATCTTATGGTGGAACTTAACTGCGTACTATAAACACCTCCTGGACCCTTTCAGCACCAAAGCTGATTTATAGAATGATTTCTGGGTCCTACTGGCCCCTACTGAGTTTACCCTAGTGCTGAGTTTTGACAATAATTGTTTAATTTTGCTAGGAGAGTAATGTATGCTTGTGCCTGCATATGCTTTCAAATGTCATAAGAATCAGCAACTCCTAGGGAGGAAAAACTAGACTCTTGTCTTCCCAGATAGCTCTTACCCCAGGCTCCAGTTCACCCGCAGGTTGTGCGAGGGGTTGTGATGTACTGGGAGCTGTGGGGAGGAGAGTGCAGTTCTTCAGCCTTGCTTTGGCTTCTATGGACCTTACAAGTGTCTGACAGGTGGCAAAGGACCATGACGCGCAGGGCAGCCGTCAGGCTTAGGTAACAAGTTAGGTTCTCTGTGGCATTGATATTAACTAAGTTTGACAGAACTGCTTTATGTTAATTATTCTAGACTTTTGACAGAAAAAAACTAATTATCCATAGTGTAAAGAGACCACGATTTTAAAGATTTCTAAGCTTTGAATGGCCTGAGACCTACTGTACTTTAAGTTTCATATGACACTAGAGGACAGGAATCTTTGTCACCACCATCATTACACAAAGGATCAGATCCACCCAAGAATCTCTGTGTGTGTCAGTATGTGCAGATATAAACAAGTATACACATGTGTTTGTGTTTGCGTGTGCATGCGTGTGTGTGTGTGTGATGTTTGGGACTGAGCCCAGGGCTCTGTCTATTAGGCAGCTACAACTCAATACCCTACTGCATATTTTTAGTAGAAAATAACTAGGAAAATTGTCTCTAATTTTTAAATTTCATTTATTCTATACATTAGTTTCTGAGGCAAGATCTTAATATGCAGCCCAGGTTACTCTGGAATTTGCTATGTAGCCCAGGCCAGCCTCAAATTCCTGCCTTTGCTTCCCAAGTGCTCGGAACTGTTTACCACTGCTGCCAACTTTGGATTTAATATGCTTGGGTGAGATTCTGGGGCCCTCTCTGGAGGAGAGCCAGAGCAGACAAGAGTGAAGTTGGAGTGTATCACTGAGTTATTATCAGCTTACTTCATATTAGACATTTGATTAAAATGCTTAAAACTTAATCATGATCCAAATTAATCACTAAGGCTTTTGTCATTTTAGTTTGATAAATTAATTTTGAACTAATAGAAGTTGAATCTCATTTTGTAACTGTTCCCATCCTGGTCAACATTACAGTAAGTTGACACATAAAGACATATTAGACACACACCTCAGTTACAGAACCCTAATCCAACTGTGGAAGACACAGCAAGGTGGGAGAATGGTCCTCCCTAGATGGAGGCACACACGACACTCAGCCTGGACTCAGACAGGCTTGAGCTCAGCGGGCTGGCGTGGAGATGAGTGGTAAAGGTTCTGGCATGGCGGATAGGAGGAGCCCTGGAAGGAGGAGCCAGCCTTTTGAGAATTCAGAGAAAAGTGTTTCGGCTGGAAACAGTCTCAGGGCCGGCATCACCCTAGTCAGTGAGTTTTGAAGAAGTACACCAGGGTAAGGGCCTCCTCTGTGAAGGGAAAACACAACCAAGGTTGCCTGCATCCAGAGAAGTGCTTACTTCTGTTGGGGTGAGCAGCTGTAGTTTGGTACCATGTCCTCAACCTCTAATTAGTGTGGTGTGTGAATGCTCCCTGTCAGCAGCATGGCTGTGAGTGCTCCCTATCAGCAGCGTGGCTGTGAGTGCTCCCTGTCAGCAACGTGGGAGTAAGTGTTCCCTGTCAGCAGCATGGCCGTGAGTGCTCCCTGTCAGCAGCATGGGGGTGACTGCTCCCTGTCAGCAGCGTGGCCGTGAGTGCTCCCTGTCAGCAGCATGGGAGTGAGTGCTCCCTCTCAGCAGCGTGGGAGTGAGTACTCCCTCTCAGCAGCGTGGGAGTGAGTACTCCCTCTCAGCAGCATGGCCGTGAGTGCTCCCTGTCAGCAGCATGGCTGTGAGTGCTCCCTGTCAGCAGTGTGGCTTTGAGTGCTCCCTGTCAGCAGCATGGGAGGTGAGTGAGTGCTCCCTGTCAGCAGCATGGCTGTGAGTGCTCCCTCTCAGCAGCGTGGGAGTGAGTGCTCCCTCTCAGCAGCATGGCCCTCATGGGCCGTAGTTTAATAGAAAAGACCATCTTTTCTAAGTAAGACTAGAATCGATGGAAAGACAGACAGTGGCAGGACTCTTCCCCTGCAGAGTAAGCTGAAGGAGGGCAGGCTTCTCTGAGGGAGGGAGCCAGCGTCATTGAGCAGGACATTCATCTCATTTGAAGTCTTTCCACTGTTGCTGTCCCAGTGTGTTCACTGGGCCACGCCCTCTTATACCACTAAAGGCCCTCCTATCAGCACTTCCACTATCTATCACTGGGTTCTTCAGCGCTGACGTGGCCCTGTTATCCTTGTTTTGCAGAAACCGAAGCTGAAGGATTGGCATCCTCCCGGAGGCTTCATCCTGGGGCTGTGGGCGCTCATCATCCTGGTCTTCTTCAAGACCTATGGGATCAAGCACATGAAGTTCATTTTTTAGACTCAAGGATGGATGAAGAAGAATGAATGGAAGATTGCAGCCTTGGATCAAAACTTAGGTTTTTATATGTTTTTAAATATGTTGCTTTTATGTAAATTTGGGAAGAAATTGAAATTGTAAATTTAGGAGTATTGAATTTTCATGAACTTTTGACTTTATAACTTAATATTGTTAACACACTTGTTTATTGGCCACACAATGTGTCTGTGTTTGTGTGACAGGACAATGACATTAAAACCCATGGCTTTAATTCTTTTTACCCTCCTCTGTTTGTAAAAGTAAGAGTTGTGAAGGTGTTAATTCCCACTAAAGGAAGTTACTTCCGTTAGTAGTTTTGTGTGGGTTCTCTTGGTCTTTTTATTTGTGTACATATGTTCCAAGTCACACAGAATATGCCATTTCTAATCTGTTGGTGTTTATAATGCATTATTAACCTCTCCCCTTCCTTGGATATCCTTCAAGAATATACTGTGAACCTGTCTTGGATGCACTTGCCTGCAGTCCAGGCTGCTTGGGAGGCCGAGGAGATTCTTTGAGTCCTGGCAGTTGAAGGTCAGCCCGGGCAACAACAGAAAACAGAAACCCCATGGAATGCATTACATGGTGTATGGTGTTCATGTGACAGCTTCTGATGGACGCTTATCTTGTTCCCGGGGTTCCCTTGGGCTCACTCTGGGGTGTACTAGTGACTCTTGGTCATCCATGGAACTCTGCAGCTTTTGTTGCACTGGGAGATGGGAACACAGGCTTTGGTCTATCTAGGGAAGTTGTGCCTCTGAGAATTTCTAGTGTTAACTGCTCAGAGAAACATGCCCTATTATTCTTTATTTTTAAGCATCCTGTGAACTTCTAGAATTGATTGTATCTCTTCAGTTTTTGTCCTGAAAGAGATTGCTGACAGCTGGATCTATGCTGCCTCTGAGGACAGTCCCATAAAATGTATGACATGCATGGAGCACACACATTGACGGCCCTGCCTTCATGTCTGATGGATTAGTAAGACACTCACACTGCTTTGTATTCCATAAGATGTAAGAGCCCACATCCAACACTGACTTCTAGGATGTCAACCACCTCCACATCTTTCCTACGGTGGAAAGACGGCCAAGCTTGTGTTTTGTAACCAATCTCAGATACTCTTTTCTCTTTCAGACTTCGGCATCAGAGAGACATGCTGGGGTGGGGTATGCCTATAGGTTTACAGTTCATGTCTGAGGGAATACTTAGGTGTTTTATCCAAGAGTCTACATGTTCATGTGTTTTATTTACAAATATTGTTGTATAATTGTAGGTAACAATTAAGAAAACTCTTCTACCCCCCTGGCGACGGGCAAAGAGACACCATGTTGGTGATGTTACTCTTCTATCAGTCAGGGGCAGAGCAGATGGCAGTCCCTGCTCATCTAGCTGGATGCCTGTCTTGGTGGCATAAGCTATCTTATGCCTAGGACTCATAAAAATCAAATCATCAAATCAAATCCAGACAGCACAACTCCGGAGGGAGACAGTCACCACAACATGAGAAGCTGTTTTAAAGAATTGCAGCATTTGGAACGTTGAGAACCACTGGCTTAGAGTTAATAATCCACTGATCTCTTTATCATTTAGCACTTAAAACATCGTGTTGTAGTTGTAAGCAAAACATACTCTCATAGGCTGCAGAGTGACTGTCATCTCTCCGATGACAGTCTAGTGCAGGTAATATTGAAGTTTCTCTAGCTCTGAGTATTTTAATTGACAATTTTATTGATGTGCTATATAAGAGAAGAAGGAAAATTTTACCTTATCCTTGTGAGCACAGAAGGAGAAGCAGCAGCAGAAGCTTGAGTGGCTTGCTCTTGCAGTGAGAGACAGTTTGACCACGTCCCTTCTAGGCCGTCACACAAGGTCCTGAAGGCGTGGTTGGGTGGAGCAGGAGGAACACAGGAATGAGGACTGCTCTTGAACCGAAGTCTGAGTGTAGTGAGCATGCCCTGCTGTGCAGGCTGCTGGGAGGGAGAGCTCGCCCTCAGAGGCTGGGAAGGAAGGGTCCTTTCCTAAACCAGTCTGAGAGTAGCAGGCAGGGTTAATTCACTTTCAGAGGGCAAGGGCGTTTGTTGTCGTGGTATTTGTTCCTGTTTGTTTCCCTTTCACTTTTTGACTTTTCAGAATACAGTTGAAGCAAAAAACTTTTAAAAAGCCTGCTTATAGCTGTAATCTTCCATGAGACTGTTCTGTAAGTAAATCGTGTGAGTATGTACAGCAAATAACGCATGTCCTAAATATATTCTCAGAGTCCCAAAGAGCTGAAGGGAAGTGTTTGCCCCTCTCGAGTGGCGAGGATGGATGAGATAATGCTGTCTCTGAACATTTCTGAAGCTGTCAGTATGCGGTGCGATTGTTATCATTGTGCTTAGGAGCCCGCAGGGGGACGCGATGGTGCCTTCTTAAGCTTCTCTGTGACATTCTTGGTTCTACTGGTGTCTTTTTTCTTCTGCTCCATGGCATTCTTGAGGCTTGAGAGCAGGGAAGTAGACAAATGGACCCCTGTAGACACGACCCGACATTTCAGAGAGTGCAGACATAGTGATGCTGTACCTGACAGGCATCGTGTGTGAGGAAAAGACACCCAGACCGAGTGTTGTGGATTCCAACCTCACGAGACATGAATTTGCAGCTTATAAAAGGAAAATGTAGTTTGGATGCAAAGGTGATAAAATTGAATCAAAAATTAGAAGTAAACCTTAAAATAATGTATGCATTTATGGTTTCGAATTTTATATATTCTCTGCTGCTTGAAAGTGATGAGCCCCAGAGCAAGCATAACTCATCCCTTCCTGCTTACCCGGTGCTTTCTGTCCGGGACCGTGCTGCTAACATTCCTCCCATTATGTATGTTGTGTGGTGGAGTTACAGTCACTGTGGGAATCATCATTCAGAGTTTTGATGCATGGGTTTCTGGAATCTTTACAACAAATATGAATTAACATATTACCCTTCCCTATTTTCTTGTACCAAATTTAAGCCCATCTGTGGTAGATGCTGTTCTAGCTGTGAAAGAGATATTTTGTAAACAGTGCAGGATGTAGCCATCGAGCCATGACCAGGCTCTGGGACGCACTACAGCACCGGCTTCATCGTTCCATTGTTTCACTTGGAACCTCAGGGCCTTAGCTGCGGCCTGCGGCCTGCAGGGCTATTGGTCAGCACACCTCTGCAAGGCCACTGGCCAGCATACCTGGGGGAGCCTGGGCCTGCATGCTAACCGCTGGTCAGTACACTTTGGGGGTTTCCAGGCTCCTCCCCCCCCAAAAAAAGTTTGCTGTCTTGGAAATGCCCTGTAAAACACTTGGCTTTATTTAACTCTGTGCGAGCATATATATCATTGAGTTTCACTTCCTCGGCCCTCACTGCCTCACTCCAGATAGTTTCAGTTTGGTGTCACATATGTGCGTATGAGAAGGTTTCAGGTTTGAGATTCAAGGGTGACATCGAGACAGATTTGCCATATGTTACATAGGTATGTATGTGTGTACGTATTTATTTATAGTTACAATTTTATACTATATGCATTTACATATTAGAAAAGAGATTAATGCCACAGATGGACAGGCAACAGCACACAGGATCTCCAAGGAGGGCTCAGACCAGCACGGTGGAGTAAAGTCCCTTCTTATATACGTTAGAGGAGGGGGAGGGGAACTGGATAGAAAGGTTTGCCATTTTGGCCCCAGTTGGCCTTATCTAGGATAAGCAGTGAGTAGTCACAGACGTTAGGTCACGGTCTCTCCGGGTTGGCCGTTACTGGGGCTGGTGAGGAGAGAAGATGTCTCGAGAATCAGGTCTCTGGTTCTAGAGATCAGATTGCCTTGGCCAGATCACCTTGGATTCTGGAATCATCAGAGTTCAACCAAAATGGAGGAGCTTTTCAAAAAGTGGTGGGACCTCGGCTCACAAGATACATGTGTGAAGGAGATATGTCTGTCTATGTAAGTCTAACTCTGCAGGCGAGAGAGCGTCTTTGTCTTTGATCCTCCCCACCCCAGGCCTCCCTCCTCATAGACTTGCCTGTACGTCACCCATATATTCCTGTTTAGGTGTATTTACGGTTATAGTCTGCCCATGAGAGAGTGTAGTATTTGACTTTGAGTGGCTTATTTCACTTAACACCAAAGTCCCCAGTTCCACCCATTTCCCTGCAGACGACATCGTTCGGTTCTCTACAGCCAGCTTCAAATCTGTTACCCAGCACGTTGCCTTTGTCCACTCATCGGCTGACGGACATCTCACTGGCTCCGTATCTTGGCTGTTACGGGTAGTGCTGCAGTAAACGCGAATACAGCTTTATCTCCTATGGAGATGGAAGGAGACTCTGGCATCCGCGCAGCCGCGAGCAGCCGCAATGGGTTGATCACGTTTGCCGCACTGTGTCTGAGTTCTGTTTAGACCGTTTAGGACTGCACACCACTTTGATTTCCTTTGCTTTTTAAAAATGAGGTAAGTGCTGGAAACAGACTTTTGTACAGCTGTTTACTGTGGGCGACACTGCAAACTCATTGACGTTTCTCACATCAGGAGGTAGAGTCTATAATACAGTCTCCGACTCCTCGGGTCCGGGCTGGATAGACACCTAATTCTACTCAATAGAACAGAACTGCCCATCTCAGAGTGAGGCCATTGAAAGTGACCATACGTATGCCCAGCTGTCTCTGGGCCTCCAGACCCAGCCACCATCCCTGAGGAAACCTGAGCCCTGTGGAGAAGCCGTGCTGCAGTCCAGGCCCCAGCCAATCCATCACATCATCTCCTGAGGTGTAAGGAGCAGGTTCCCAAGCAACACCATCTCCTGACAGCCCAGAACCACGAGCGTATTGCAGTTAGAGGAACAGTGTCGCGTTGGAGCGGTGGCTAAGCAGTAGTGGCTGAGACCATCATCACGTGCTGCGCCTGGAGGGGTTTCTGGGGGTGCAAAGGTAGGATTCTTCCCTAAAGAGTAACAGATGATTCTAGAAAGATTCGTGAGAGAACTGTTACCAGGGAAGAAACAAGAACAAGTCCCATTTAAGAGCCACACGATACAGACTCTACACAGGAGTGTTCACTTTTAGTTACTGTGTCAATAGGGGCTTAGTGATCTGGAAGTGAAACAGGCTCTGGAGCCAGTTCACCTTGCTGTCTACCTCCTGCCACTTGTCAGGTTCTGCCCTTCCCCTCGCCTAGACTCGGAGGCTGAGACCTGCGCCGTGAGAGCTGGTTGCATCCCGTCTCGGTGCTCCTTTCCCTTGTAGTGTACTCAGACCTTCACTACCTAAAGTTCTCAAAGCAGTGTGCTCTCTGCTAACTGGTTCATCATGTTCTTTCATCTGGCTTTTTTCTCCTTTCCCCTAGTGGTGTGCGTGTGTGTGTGTGTGTGTGTGTGCGTGTGCGTGCGCGTGTGTGTTCTCCTTACTGTCTCTTCTTACTAATTACACTTTCACAGTGTTTCCTCTGCCTTCACACTACTGTCCGTTCCAGGCATTCCTGCTCTCAGCTGCTTCCTTTAAGTCTTGCCTAAGTGCTGCTCCCTGGCAGCATGCTCCAGATGTTCTGAACATATTTTCCCAAGTCGAAAGCTGCTCAGTCCCCTATATGTACATGCCCATCTGTATCTTCCAGTCACCTCTACGTCACTGGCCGTCAGATGTCTATGTCTAAGTATCTTTTTTTTCTCTTTTTTAAGTTTTAAATATATATATATATATATATATATATATGTGTGTGTGTGTGTGTGTGTGTGTGTATACATATATATAGTATATGCACTATATATGTATATGCTATATATGTGTGTGTGTATACATATATACATATATACACACACACACACATATACACACACACACATATATATATATGGTGGAGTTACTTTATAACAGAGAAATGATATCTCAGTAGACATCAGAGACTAGTGAAAGAAAGACCCAGTTCTGAGAATGGGTTATTTGTTGCTCCTCAGTGCCCCAGTTTCTCCTCCCACCTCCCTCCCCTTTGCCTCTGAGAGGGGCGCCCTCTCCCCAGATATGCCCCTATCCTTATGCATCAAATCTCTGCAGGATTAGGTGCATCCACTCCCACTGCGGCCAGATGCGGCAGCCCTCTGCTACACTTGTGTAGGGGACCTCTGAACAGCCATGTATGATCTTTGGTTGGTGGCTCAGTCTCTGGAAGCCCCCAGGGGTCCAGGTTAGTTGACACTGTTGGTCTTCCTGTGGTGTTGCCGTCTCTTTAAGGCCTGTCAGTCCTTCCCTTATCTCTTCACAGTGGTCCCTGACCTCTATCCAGTGCCATTATCTGCATCTGTCTCAGTCAGTTGCTGGGTAGAGGCTCTCAGAGGGCTGCTATGCTAGGCTCCTGTCTGCAAGCACAATGAAGCATTTAATAGTGTGAGGGATTGGTGCCTGTCCATGGGATGGGTCTCAAAATGGACTGCTCACTGGTC